CGCGCGGCGGGCCCACGGCCGCTCCACACCATCCTCCCCGCCGCGCTGGGGTCAGCGTCCGGCTCCGCAGGGCCGACACGAGGACGGGAGGCCGGCCGGGCTCCCACCGCCGCAGCGACAAGGGCTCCGGGCTGACTCTGGCAGCCGTGGTTTCCGGGTGAAGAATGGGGGGGAAAAAAAAAAACGCCACGGCCAACGTTACTGTGACCTCTGACACCTGGCGTCCGACGGTGGCGAGGCCGGGACAAGATTCCTCAGAAGCGAGGAGCGGATGCCCCGCCCCTTGGCTGGACCACGTCAAGGCGTTTGTCTGTGAAATCTGTGACAGACACTTGCATACTGTAGAGTCCAATCCCGTGCAGGTGCGCATGTGTCTGTACATGTGGCCGATTGTGTCAGTGCGCAGGAGTGCAGGAGTATGTGTGCACTGTATGGTGTGTGATGGGCGTGTGAGGGTAGTGTGTGTATGTGTATACGGTACACACATATATATTTGTAAGGCCATGTGTGCCTGCTCCTGTTTCTGTGCTTACATATTCATCATTAATTGTATATTAATTTGTCGTTGATGAAAGTATAATTTGCATGTATGACCATATTGTAAAATAATTGTCAGTATCCAATACACATTAAAAAAAAGATAAAGTACTCTGGGAGATTGAGGGAGGAGGATTGCAAGTTGAAGATAAACCTAGCCAATGTGGCGACTTGGCAAGATCCTGTCTCCAAAAATATTTAATGAGTATTTTATTTTATTTTATTTTATTGTTTTTCAATAACAGGGTCTTACTATGTAGTTCAGGCCAGCCTTGAATTCACTGTGGAGCCCACTGTGGCCTCAAACTCACGGTGATCCTCCTGCCTTAGCTTCCTCTGTGTTGGGATTTCAGGGCTGTGCCATCTCACCTTTCTGCTGCTTTGAAACCCCTCTGCTACAGTGTGCACCACCACAGCCACACAAACCACCCCTGGCAGCACCCACCAAAACTCACCTCTTTGTGGCTGAGCCCATTGTTCCCTGTGACTGTTCTTATTTCTAGCATTCTTCCCATTCCCATAGCCATCAAAACTTCCTCTGGGCCTTGTCCCCTTCACGTCCCCACCACCACTGCCAACACATCCACCACCTTGGTTTCCATATCCTGGTCCAGCATAGCTTCCTCTCCTGTACTTTCCATCCTCCCCTCGGTCACCACTTCCACGGCCACCACCTCACCCCCAAAACATTTCCATCAGGGTCAGAATTACCCGCATGGACCACTAAGAAGCTAACAATGTACGATGTACAATGTACTGATTATCAAAACTGTCCTATTAATCAGCTGTGAAACCGTCTCATTCATATTTCTCAATTAAAAAAATAAAAAAGAAATAAAAATAAAAAGAATTACCCCCATGGCCCAAGTCTCTTCCCTGCTCCACGAGGTGGTCAGGTCCCCACCACTGTGCCTATACGCTGGCATTTGCTGCTCTTGTTTCACAAGGCTTTCTCACTGCACCTTGTGCCCAGTGACAGGCTGCTGCTCTGACAATTTTAACCGCTGTGCCGCGCTCATCAAAAGTTTCAAAAGCAAATCTCTTTTTTCCACGCTGCCTATCTGCCATGGCTTCTATGGCTTCGAGCCTGACACATATTTAAAAGCCGTGTCTCCAGTTATAGCCTCCTGTTTCTGTGGAACACCACCAGCACACACCTTGGTCCTGCTGGGCTGTCCCCAAGCTTTGGTTCCACCCTCAGCCTGGTGTGGGTGCACACACTGCCTCTTCAAGAGTACTATGGCTTGTCATCCCAGCACTAGGAAGACAGAGGCCGCAGGATTGCCCCAAGTTCAAGGACAACCTGGGCTATACAGCAAGACCCCATCTCAAGAAAATAAAGTCATAAATCCAACACTCCCCGAACAGTTTGTTGGGGATCTCCTGCTACCACACAAGCTATGTGTTACAATGAAATGGAAAAAGAAAAAAAAAACTGTAAGGAAGAATTGTCTGCTTTCTTCACCCTGTAGCCATGAGAGCATAACGGAACATACAGGATGCCTACCGTAATGATGGTCATTCATCCAGCCCATATCCATTGATCTCACCCTGCTAGCTAACTGAAGAACTGCCAGGCTGTCGTGCCCCACCTTTGCACCCCTTGCTTATACCCCATATAAAAATGCCTGGCTTTTGTTGGGAGCTATTGCAGTGAGGACCAGTGGTATAAGATAAAGCTGTTCATTGTTTCCTGGTTACCTTGATGTTCCTTTCCTAGCCTCAGTTTTGCTGCAACAATATTCTTCAAAATGCCCTCTTTAACTTTCGCATGTCCTTTTGACTCTCAGAGTATCAATAAGAAGCTTTCTTGTGTGGTGTGTGTGTGTGTGTGTGTGTGTGTGTACATGTGCGTAGTACTGGGGATCGAACCTATGGTCTTTGAACTTAATTACATCCCCAGCCCTCTGTATTTGTTATTTTTAGATAGGATTTTGCCGAGTTGCTCAGGCTTTGCCCAAACTTGCAACCTTCCTGCCTCAGCCTCCCAGAGCACTGGGATTCCAGGCAAGAACCGCCATGCCTGACTCAATATGCAGCTTCCTAACACTCTGATTCCTTTGGCTCACAGCTTGGGCTGAGCTAGGGGAGACTGAGCATCTCACCCCAGGTCCAATGTAGAAGTCTGAGTCAGGATGGAGGCTGAGTGTAGGCCCCAAACTGATCTTTTAACCAAGATAGCTCTCAAAAATATATGGTGAGTAGACTGGGCGTGGTGGCACGCACCTGTAATCCCAGCACTTGGGAGGCTGTAAACAGAATCACCATGAGTCCAATCTACACAGTGAGACCCTGTAGATACTGTCCTAAAAGTGTATGTGTGTGTGTGTATGTATATATATAGTGAGTTATTATGAGAAGCTGCTTAACTTTTAGTAGAAAGTACCTGAGTAGAAGGTAAAGCTTCCATCCCCAGGATCATACCTCCATCCTCAATTTTCCTGAGCTCCACCTACAGCAAGTGGTAGCTAGCTGGGTGTGGTGGCACATGCCTGGCACCCCAGCACCCACGCCACTGAGGCCCACTAAGAAGCCCCTTGGGGCCACAGATTTACTTCGATTGGGGGGGTGGTATTCAGATATTACCGCAGAAGAAATAAAGGTTGGAGTCTGGTTAAAAGCTGGAATATGGAGTTTTAAAAATACATATTGTGGTGATTTCCCCACACCCGACTCAAGAACATACTGGTAGGCATAATGCCTGCACGGAAATTGCTGCCCCTGCCGCCTAAAATATAATCATGAACGACGTGAACATCTTTGACATCTAGAACATCTGGATGCACAAAATCCAAGGTTTAACCTAAGTGTGATAGGACACACCTACAATCCCAGCGCTCTGGGAGACTGAAGAAAGAGGATTGTAAGTTTGAGCCCAATTTGGGCAAGCCAGAAATTTAGCAGCGTGCTATCTCACAACATAAAAATAAGCAAAAATAAAAAGAGCTGGGGATTTAGATCAAGGCTAAGGCTTCAGGTTCAATCCCCAGTATGACACACACACATACAAAAGAAAAAAAAACCCAAAGGCTTAGAAATACCTAAGCCAATTCTAATAGTACATCTGAAATAACATCAAATAGCTTGACGGCACTGACGGACTGGTACCCTAATTAAGAAAACATCAGATGCATCAGTATTCATCAACTCTCTCTGAAGCACTCTGTGGACAGTGAGGAGGATGGACAGATCGTGAATTTCCCAGAAGCCCTCAGAGGAATCAACACGACAGCACCCTGCAGGAACCTCAGAAGTCCTTGCCGTGGTGCGGCACACCGAGTCCTCTACCAGTGGATGATGATTTGCATTTACATGGAGGGGCTGCATTACACACTTACTGTTTCCTGAAAGCTACTTGAACTCTCTTGCCCATTGTCATAAATCTGCTAAAGTGGGACCTAGGGCTATTATAGGACATTAAACTGTCGAACTAATATGATTATTTGTGAAACAGAGGGTCAAGCGAAAGCAACTTTACTAAAGTCATAAATCTCATCACTGATCAGAGATGGTTTGTTAGCTACAAAAATCCATGGCTCACACTGAGTGTAATTTGGGAGAATTACATTATAATTTGGGGGTTGGAGTGACCTATGCCATACCACATGCACAGCAGTAGGAAAAGGAAATGAATTGTTATCACTTCCCAGTTCTTGGACTAAAAACGAGACTCAATGCCTAGCAGGGCTATTTGATTTGGAGAACTTATATCCTTCACTTAAGAATATCACTGGGCTCAACCCACAAATCACCCTGAAGAAAAGACTATTTTTATTTTCCAGGCAGAAAATTATGTTTCCCAGGCTGGTCTTGATCTCGTACCTTTAAGAGCGCCTTCCTTCTGCCTCACCCTCTTAAGTACTTGGACAGCTGGTGGCGTATGCCTGTAAAGCCAGCACTTAAGAGGCTGAGGCAGGTAGATCACTGTGAATTCAAGGCCAGCCTGGGCTACCTAGGGAGTTCAAGGCCAGCCTACACTACATAGTGAGTCCCTATCTCAATAAAATGAAATAAAACAAAAATAAAAAGGTTATCTGCTGCTGGTCCCATGGGTCCTACCATCACATTTCAGACTTGCTATTTTCCCACTGCTGAGGGCAGAAAGGCCTAAGGTAGTGGGTAGGCAGTCGGGTCACTTGA